GGGAGCCGGGCCCGGTGCGCCTGCGCTCTGTGCGCCCGCCTCTTCTGGCCCAGCCCACACGCTCCGGACATCCGGCTAGGCCACACCCCTGACTGTGGTCTCTCGTTTAAGCCACGCCCCCGGCCCTGAATCACACCCACTTCAGAACTTAAGTACCATAAGCTCCGCCCCTTGCTTCAAAATTTGTCCTCTTTGCTTCCCCGCAGTAAAGTTTCTCCTACTTTTGTGGCTCCCAAACCCCTACTCCCCAGAATTTCACCCCTTCCTCTAAGCCCCGCCCCAAACCTAACCGCTTTATGCCAGGCCCCGCCTCTCAATACTTCCTTAGCCACGCCCTATTCGTGCAAACCCCGCCCCTGCCCCTTCGCATTTAAGCTGCGGCTCAGACTTGGGGTCCATAGCAGTTCTGCCTTGTACCTCTAAAGTGGTCTTCTGGGCCAGAGGCATCAGTATTGGCCTCACCTGGGGGCCTGTAAAAATGCAGGTTTTCAAGGTCCCTGGCCCATACAGCCTATGGCGTCGGGGGCTTAGGGGTGTGATTTTTGTTTATTTTTGGGAGAGGTTTTTGCTATAGGTGGCCTGACCAGAAAGACAGAGACAGAGACAGAAAGCGAGAAATTACCCCCCAGAGGGGATGGCCACGGCAATTCCTTCTCTTCCTTGGGTATGCATGCACACGTGCCTGGCGTGAATTTAAGCCACCAGGTCCGGGACTCCAACTGACCACAGTCGGCTACATGGGAGCTCAGCGACAAAGCCATTACGCTAACTGCTGTTCCCATTAGGGATGTATTTTAAAGTCCCCTTCAGGCGATTCCCATGCACGCTGGAGCTGGCAACCACGGCTTCAGTGTGCGTTACAGCGCCCCTCTTAGACAATCCCTATAAGCCTCTCCGCCTCAGCCCTACCGCATGCAACTCCACCCTGTGGTCTCGGGACCAGCACCTCCTGCTAACCCTCATCTCAGGGCCTCTCCTTAACCCCTCCTTTCTTAGGAGGGGCTGAAGAGGACTGAAAAGCAGCCCCACTCACACCCCAGTACCTTCAACAGTCAACACCTCACTCCCTGATGTTGCCCTCTAATCCCAGACCCGCAGGTGCACTAAACCTCTCTGCGGGTCAAGCCCTCCCCTAATTTAGCCCCACCCCAACGTCTAGCCCCTTCTAAGCCTGCAGCCCACATGCCCACCTTCCCAAGAAAGAAGAAAGCCTGGCCCTTCCGCCTCGGCCCTGCTCCTCCAAGCCACTCCCTCACCTCTCAACCTACCGTGGGTCCTGCCCTCACTTGCCACCCAGTCTTTCTGTCAAAAGGTGGGTCCTCAGGAGGAGGAGGTGGGCTGCGGAATGTCTAGGAATCTGGCTGCCCGGAAGTGGGTTAGCATAGCCGGTTCAGTGTGTTGGGAGCGCTTGGAGGTCTGATGGAGATGGGGAGAGACATTGGCGCCAGGCTAGGGGCACGAGACTCGGGGTCCTCCCGAATTTCACGTCCCTTGAATGCAGGAGAGGAGGGCCATCCATCCCGCACCAACACTGAACACACACGAGAAGCCACGTGGGCAGAGATTTATTTCCGCGGCCCCCGCCTCCAAGGGCCTGTCAGTCCGGGGGATGGTGGCAGAGGGCAGCAGGTACCAGTTTAGGTCCCCACCCTCAAACCCCTCCCACAGCGGGAAGCCCACCTGAGCCAAAGGTGTCCCGGCCCCCTCTCCCAGGCCTTGCCCCAGCCCCGAACACCGCCTGGGCACAGGTGGCCGGGGGTGGGGGTCAGGCGGGCTCCTTATCCTCCGGCTCCTCCTCCGCTGCCCCTTCTGTGGCCGGGATGCCCTCGTCGTCCCACGGTGGCTCAGGCCCTGGGTCTGGGGGACACAGAGACAGCCCCATGGTCTCCGGGTGTTTGCGCTTGGCATGACGCCGGAGCGTGTTGGCCTCGGTGAAGCGCAGCCGGCAGACGGGACACTGGTACGGGCGCTCCCCGGAGTGGACGCGCTGGTGATGGGCCAGCTCGCCTGCCTCGCGGAAGCGGCGGGGGCAGAGCGGGCAGCGGAAGGGCCGCAGGCCGGTGTGGATGTTATAGTGCCTCCGCAGGTGGCTGGACCGCTTGAAGGTCTTGCCGCAGTCCTTGCACTCGTGCGGCTTCAGCTCTGAGTGCGAGATGCGGTGGCGCTCCAGGTCGGAGAGGTAGGGGAAGGCCCGTAGGCACACGGGGCAGAAGTGCGGGGCCTTCCTGGGGCCCGAGGCCTGGGGCGCACCTGCCGCTGACCCCTCAGAGACTGTGTAGGGCACGCCCTGATCATCGATCAACAGGAGGTCGCTGCCCCCACCACCGACAGGGGCTGTCACGCCCTGTGCCAGTGGCAACTCCTGCCCTGACTTGGGCGGGCGACCCCGCTTGCGAGGGAGGGAGGCCTTGAGCGTCCGACCAGAGGAGGTGACCCCCGCTGGACGCCGGCCTCGGCGGCCCCGAGGGACAGGAGGAGATAAGGCCAGAGGTGTCTCTTCCTCTCCAGGTAAAGGCGAAGGCAGCGGGTCTGGGCTGGGGGTGTCCATTGAGCAGTGAGGGGCTTGGGTCTGGGCACTGGAGCCGGCTGGAGGAGAAAGGGGCAGCGTCAGTGTGCGGGAGGGCCGGTACCCCTGCTCCCCAACACTGGCCATCCCTCTCTCCAAGTCTGGGGGCTGGGTGCGGCTGACGGTCACCCAGAGCACAATCACCGTCATGCTAGCGGGTAAGATATCTGCGGACTTTGGACAAGGTGGTCAACTGGCACTCCCCTGAGCTGCCGCGTCCCCCAGGCTTCCCACCTGTCCCCTGGATCTAGAAGTTCAAGGTCAGCACCAGCCATGTGAAAGACAAACTTCCTTCAAGGAGGACAGGGTCCTAGCGAGGGTGGGGACGGCGTTGCGACCCTGGAAACAGAGCTCCCAGTAAATCCGGAGCCAGCAGCCTCAGAAACAGTCTGTCCACATCTTGATGGGCGCAAGTGGGAAGGGGTTCAGAACTGCTCCTACTGATGTTTGACCCTGATTTGGGGAGGAGCAAATACATCTGCCTTGTTAAGAGTCTGGCGTCAGACATCCCGGATTCAAATCCTTTGTCCGTGACTCACTGTGTGGCCTCAGACAAGCTGTCCACCTCTCTGAGCCTCTGTTAAGTCTTTTGCACGGTTGTACCTACTAGCCCGAGCATGCCCCCGTCAGTGTCAGCCACAGAAGCCCCATTAGCAGGGTGAGGAGCTGTGCCCCAAATCAATCCTCTAAGGACACGTCACTCATTTTGCAAATGGGGACACTGAGGCACAGGAAAGCCAAGTCGGTTGCCCAGGCTCCCTCTGCCAGTAAGTGGCAGGGCTCAGGCTGGAACGAGGTCGTGGGGATCCAGATGGCCCAGAGAGCAGGAAACAGACCCAGGGAGACCGGGCATTGCGCGTCTGCAGCCAGCCCTGGCGATAACTAGCAAATGGCTCTACTCTGAGCCTTCCCCCTGTATAAAAGGGACACACCAGTTGTCTGGAGAACCAGACTGGCTTTGCGACGCCCCTGGCACACGTCTGGCGCGCAGCAAGGAGTCAAAAAACCGCCGCCGCCGCCTTACCAGCGGCACGGGAAGGTGGGGGGCACGGGTGTTAGAAGGTACTGCCGGTGCCCTGCACCTCCTTTAACAGGTGCGTAGACTGAGGCCCACCGGAGGGCGACCACCTTTCCATGATCACATGGTCCGCCCCGGTGGCTGGGCCCCAACTATTAGCCAAGTCTCCGAGGGTCAGGGAAGACGGGTCCCTCGGCACTCCCCCACCCACATCCCTGCAGGCGCGTGCCCGCCG